CACGCTCGAAAAAATGTCTTCAATATGTACATTGTGCATATATATATATATATATATATATATATATATATATATATATATATATATATATTTAAAAAAACAAGAACTTAAAAATTAATTGGTAAAAAGTTAGTTTAAAAAAAATAGACTTCCAACTGCTGCCTAAAATAAGTTAAATAATAATAAAAAAAAAAACAAAAAACTAAAAAAATTAAACGGTAAAGACATGTTTAAAAAGTTCAAAATAATAATAAATAAGAAACAGTTTTAAAAAGTTTAAAATAATAAAAAATAGAGAAAAGGTAAAATTTTCTAAAAATGTAATATACACTTATAAAAAAAAAACTTTATTTTTACGCTATAATTAATTGCACATTTAAAAAGAACAGTCGGGAGACATCACGCTAAATCTAATATTTCTCAATCATATTTATTTAGAAATTTTAGAATATTAATACTAAATATACACGCGCGTACGCGTGCGTATATGTGTATGTGTATGTATATGTACGAATATACATAAAGTACAATATATGTGCCAAATAAGTATGAAATTTACCAAATAAATATAAAAAGAAACACACACACACAATCAATATAGAAGAAACTGCCATTTACGGTCCAAGCTAAATCTTGGTAGCCTAATAATATTTCTGTGTGTATTTATACACATATTTCCAACTTATTGTTAGTAAATTGCGCATTGATCTTTTGTCGGACTTAACTAGAATACAACTTCCGTTAAATTCCCCCCCTCCTTCTACTTAAATCGATATTAACTTAATTAACTTTGATACTAATAAGCAGTTTACTAATTGTAAGTTGGGAATATGTCGCAGCCTTTTTGCGAAATCAATCTTTTTGCAAAAACGCTAGCTTGTTTGCAAAACGGCGGCACACGTTTGCACACAGTTCATTGGCGCACAGTTTGTCAATTTTTTTTATTTAAAAGTACACATAGGCGGAGCCCTTTGCTCGCATAAAAAACGAACCTAACTCCAAGCCTAATTTCTAAAAATTTGAAATTAAAAATCAGCTTAATTGAGAAACAAACTAGCTTTCGCAAAAAGGCAGCAGTTTTTCAAACAGGCTAGCCTTATTGCAAAAAGGCTGATTTCGCAAAAAAGCTGCGGCATGTATAAATACACACAGAAATATTATTAGGCTACTCTGATCTAGCTTGGACCGTAAATGGCAGTTTTTTCTACATTGCTATTTATTTAATTCTATTTATTTAATTCTATTGCTTTTGTACCTAGTTTTAAACTTTAAAACTAGCATTATTTCCGTGCATTTTTGTCTTTAAAGAAATTTAATATTTAATAAGCAAAACAGTATTAATTAAAAATCAAATATTAGAGAGAGCATAAATAAGGGAAACACATTAGTCAAAGTAAAATTATTTGTACTTTTGTTTTGATTAATAGTGTAAAATTGAAATAATCGATATTAATATTTCAATGTATGTCTTCACTACTTTCTAAAGTATAGATGTTTATATTCGCGTCTTTTATTAAAATAAAAATAAAATTTATTTTACTTATAATATTTATTTTGCCAGTATTTATTCTGTATTTCTGCGTTTTATAATGATATCAAAACTCGAAAAATTTTGTTTATTAGTATCAATTTCTTTCAGGGGTTTTGTCTCCTATAACGGTTACTGTAAACCCTTTGACAAGAAAGGCGCCGGGTATATGCGTAGCGATACGGTTGCGGTAGTATATCTGCAAAAGGCATTAAAAAATGCAAGAAGAATATATGCGACCATCGTACACAGTAAAATGAATTGCGATGGTTTTAAAGAAAAAGGTATTACCTTTCCATCAGTCGAGAAGCAAAAAATATTGTTGAATAAATTTTACGAGGAATGTGAAATCATGCACTGTGAGTTATCTTACATGGAGGCTCATGCAACTGGTACTGTTGCCGGTGATCCAGTTGAAGTTATGTCTATTGACCAGACTTTATGCGCTAAAAGAAATACTCCTTTATTGATGGGTTCGGTAAATTTGAATCTTGGACATTCCGAACCTGCCAGTGGGCTTTGTCAAATCGCAAAGGTACATTTGTAATAAAATGATTTAACACTGACTTTGCTCAAAATATAATTATAGCAATTTATATTTCTTTATATTGTTATAACTATAATACATATGCATATATGTATTATATTACATTTTTATAAAATAATTAGCAGTATAATTACTATTTATACTGCTAAATAGAAATAAAAAGATGTGATTTTTTAAAGGTATTATTAGCGATGGAAATTGGCACAATATTGCCTACTATATATTTCAAGCGTCCGCGGAAAAAGTTAACTGCTATTATCGAAGGAAGAATAAAGATTGTCACTGAACCAACAGAATGGGAAGGTGGTTATATAGGTGTCAATTCTTTTGGATTTGGAGAGGCCAATAGCCACATATTATTAAAATCAAATCTTAAACAAAAAATCAACAATGGAGCTCCGAATGATGACTTACCTAGGCTTGTAGCTGTATCTGGTCGTACGGAAGAAGCAGTTAAAATAATTTTTGATTACGTAAGCGTAAGCAAATATTGTAACGGCTTACTTTATTTATTTCAGCAATGGCTTCTGATAACATTTACTTTTTTATTACCACGTAAATATAGTAAACTTAAAATAAATTTAAATATATATATTTATAAGAGGTCTAAAAAAAGAATTTTGCATACATAATAAAGTATACATTTTTTAAATTATTCCAAATTTGCGCAAAAAAGAAAAGTCAATGTGTTTTATTCAATATATTAAATAATAATATTAAATATTAAATAATTAAATAATAATAATATATTATTAGCAAGACATTCTTTGCAAAATTAAATAGTAATATTTTTTCTCTTTTATGTAAAATTATTTCAAGAAAGATAAGGTGAATATTATTAGATATGTAAAGGGGGGGTTCCTTGTATATAAAAAATTCAAATATATAATCTGGCCATAAGAAATAAGCGCGATGTTTTTACTTTTTACGCTCAAATTTATTATATAGATCTATCACAAAGTACAATCAATAAAATTACGTACGTCTCAACCCTTTTTTTTGTCATCTTCAACGCATTATCCTAACATTAAAGTAAGCTACAGTCATTATAAATAGACGAAACCCGATTAAACCGCATACATCAAGTCAAATTGATATCATTAATTCTCACAATAACCGTTTGGGCAGATACACACTCCGAAATACTCCCTCTCGTGTGTCTTACTTCTAGTTAGAGATCCAAGAAATTCGAGATAGCAACTTACAATAATGGATGTCGTTTAGTTATAAGCAATTAGCAATTCTAATCACATTATGCACAAAATTATAATAAGCAGCGAATTAAAATGTATCTGGGAAACCTTCAGAACAGTAACACATCTATTCTAGCAATGTTAACGCGATTTATAAGGGGGAGGGGGGGTAAGATAAAACACAAACAATAGTGTGGATTGAAAGTTTCGAAAGACTCTCAATAACATTTATATATGTTCAGATAAATTTTCTGTATCTACAAATTCGAGCCATTTCTTTGTCTTCTAATATCAATTATTTCAGAAATTAAACGTTTGTTTAAAAACGGTTCTTTATCTAAAATCTCCACTTTATTCCAATTAAAGTCATGATTGCATTCCAATCTGTGATTTGTTGAAACAGAATGACCATTAGTGTTTTTTCTAATATGAGATTTATGGTCTTTAACTCTCGTTTGTAATTGTCTACTCGTCTGGCCAACATAAGATGCCTCATATTCATTACAACTAATTTTATATACAATCTTACTGCACAAAGAATTAGGAAGAACACCTTTGTGTACTTTGATAAAGCTACCCAATTTATTGAGACTGACATATAAGAGCTTAACTTTCAAATCTTTAGTTATGTTCTTATATTTTTCAGTTATTGTAGGAACAAAAGATATTGTAAAAACGCAGTAATATTATTTTTTTGCTTTTTATTTATCTCAAGATGCAAATTAACAAAAAGAAATTTAAGCTGTTCATGCATGACCTTAAAAATAAGCACTAACGGATAACAGTTATTTAATAAAATTTGAATCATTAATTCAAAATTTTTTTTTTTCTTGAAATTTAGGATGTGACGACCAAAAGACTCTATCTATTAAACTAATGACCGCACCTTTTTTCGGGCAAAAGGAGTGTTGAGACAAGAAATTTAAATATCTTCCAGATAACGTTGGTTTGTGAAACCAATCGAATAGTAAATGGTTCCTGTACGTATCACAGTAATCTCCTAAAAATTTAACTTGTCATCCACGTTGACCTCCATAACGAATCTAGGATGAAATAAATTGAAAACTTCTAAAGTATGAGTACATCTGGTGGAAAACACTGTCATTGCAATATCATCAACATATCTTGTATAGAATGCCGGAGTGAAAACATTACTTTACATTATACATTTCATCTGAGAGTATTTGCTCCGAATGTTTTATACAGATATTTTCGAAGTTCTAACGATCCATAATGTCAAAGGACATAACACTCTATTTCAAATTTTTTGGCTCTCTAACTATAGAAATAAAACACACGAGGATACTTGGGAGTACTTCGGAGTATGCATCTAACCAAACGGTTACTGTGAGAATTAATGATATCAATTTGACTTGATGTATGCGGTTTAATCAGGTTTCGTAAATTTATAATGACTGCAGCTTACTTTAATGTTAGGATAATGCGCTGAAGATGACCCAAAAAAATGGTCGAAACGTACGTAATTTTATTGACTATACTTTCTGGTAGACCTATATATAATAAATTTAATCGTAAAAACATCGCGCTTGTCTCTTATTGCCAGATTATATATTTGAATGAATATTATTGTTACTGAATGCAGGTGCGGAGTCGATCAATAGATGCAGAATTTATATCTCTTCTACATCATATTTATAATGATAATATAGAAAGGTCACCTTTATAGAGGGTACATGATAACTGGATCTAAAATATTTCATAATACAATTAATAAAATAGAACATGCTCCATATATCAGAAGACCGATTTGTTTTATATTTTCTGGACTAGGATCTCAATGCTTTAGAATGAGTAAGGAAATATATTATTATAAAATACTTTAACTGTAAGTAAGCAACATTCAACAATTCTTAAGAATATACGTAAAATATAAAAATATCAATAATCTTTTGTAATTATTCAGAAAAGCAGTATGATCATGATTTCAACATGTTTTTAACATGTTTTTGAACTTAAAATATTGCATAAAATTTTATTCATTGCCTTCTATTTATTAAAAATTTAATTTATATGGAGGAGGGTCCCTAAGGCCTGTTTTCGGCACCCCTTCAAAATTGGGCCAAAATAGCTGGAATCACTTCCTTATACCCTTGGAAGTAATATTTAGTCAATTCCAGCCTAAACGGAAGTATTTAGAGTGTATACTTCAAGTATACATGGTGCATCAGCGCGCCCGTATCAAGCATTTTTTGGAAAACTAAGCGTTATTGAGAAAAATGTTTCAGATAAAAGTTGTATGGTTTCAAGGGGGACATAAGATGGTGTCATTGGTTTGACCTTGGATAGTCATTTCATCAGACTCACCTTAACCAAGCACCCCAAAAGGTGAGAGGCAAGGGGACTC